TTTTTTTTTTTTTTTTTTTTTTTTTTTTTTTTTTTTTTTTTTTTTTTTTTTTTTTAAATCTCCTTTAAAAAGGAAATTTAAATAAATTAATAAATTATTTTTGATTCTCCAAGATTATAGAATCTTTGAATTTTTATCTGACATTATTTATTTTTGTAAAGCTGTTTTAATGTAATTTGTATGACAGTTTTGAATTAAAACCAAATTTTCATAAGTTATCATAAATTTATGAAGAGTTGTAGGGTTAAATGCTTTTGCCCCGCACTTCGAGTTTCTTAGGAAAGGAAAAAAAAGTGATCAAGCAAAGGTGGACCTGAAAAAAGATAGCTATTCTGATGCATAATCGCAAAATTTTATAGAAATCACGGTATTTATTTTCGATAAAATTGTAAAACTTAATAAATGTTATAAGGCATTTTAAAAGCATTTTGATATATATATATATATATATATATGTATCATTATCATGGAGATATATATCATCATTGAAAAAAAATTGTAGCTTTTAAAGCGAAACCGATTGCAGATTTGATAGCAGCCACGTGAAAATATCGCCAACTGTAATTTCGCCAGCATTCACCACGAGAGAACGGGAACAAAGTAGTTTTTCATATGAACTTTTGAATCATTTACGTGTGGCGGAATAAAAAATAACTTTAAATCCGATTTATGAAACAAAGAATAATTCATTAAAATATAAACTAGCCAAAAAAAAAATTTAAAAATGAGTTCCTCTTTTCATGTCCGAATTGTTTTGGAAGTTCATCTTCAGAAACATAGAAAAAGTAAAAAAAGTAGTTGCAATTTAATTAAATTCTTTATAAGCCTAGGGTTATAAATTACATTGAGGAAAATTTGCTTTTGCGTTGCGTGAGATTTTTTTAAAAATTCTTATAAATTTTCGCGCCACTGATTTCATATCTGTAATCAGTACATTGCAATTTATGATTCAATATGTTAAGATCATGGGCTTTTTTAAGAGTTACTTTCGAAGGTGCAGGCGAGTGCATATGCATGTGTATGAACTTCTTTATAAACTTGTACATT